ATTTTATGTAGTGACATATAATTGCCGTGTCTAATATGTACAATATTAAGTAAGTAAAATAAAATAATATATTATCCATATTTTATCATATATGTAGAATTACATGTATATGTGACATTTTATGTAGTGACATATAATTGCCATGTCTAATATGTACAATATTAAGTAAGTAAAATAAAATAGTCCCCAAACCAGGTAAAATGATTAAAATGAAAGACCAGTCTCGAGGGCCAAGAAAACACTGTCAGTAATTTCATATCAAGATCCGAATTCTTTTATGATATTAAGCAGTTTTTTTGTGCTTCTAGGCCTCCCTTGTCTGCAACAAGCTAGTGCAGGGGGGCTAGAGAGATGACTCTGTAGTTAAGAGCACTGACTTCTGCTCCAGAAGACCAGGGTTCAATACCCAATAACCACACAACGGCTCACAACCATCAATATAAAACTCCAGTTCCAGGGGGATTCTGATGCCTTCTCTTGATTCCATGGGGACTGCACACACCGTGCACAGACATATATTCAGGCAGAATATGCTATACATGAAATAAAAGTAAATAAAATCTCAAGAAAGAAAATAGAACAGAAGTAGATCAGAATGAGAGGACGTGCTGGGAGCATCTGAATCAGAGCTTGCCCACTCGGGATATCTTTGGGTTTTACTTTCCTCGTTCCCCACTTCATGTCTGAGCAAAGTGACAGGTGTGTGGAAAGGGAACACAATCCAGAAGGGCAAAGGCCACTTCCTCCTTCTGTCTTACACTCTGGCTCGCCTGGCACTGTGAGCACAGGCCTCTGGCATGCGCACCTGAGCAGCCGATCCCAGCTGTCCTGACACTTGGCTACAAGCAGCTCTTCAGCAGGTGTTTGGCTCAGTTGCCTTTTGTCATGCCCAGCCTGGACTGGCTGTTAGCAGGGGAGTCCAAGGACAATATTCCCAGAGTACACTGGGCAGCGCTTTGGAGGCTACTACAAGCTGGATAAACAGTGGTAACAGTGCTTCTCCTGTCTAGTTGGTTGGAGAGGGAAATAAATATCTAATAATCCCCCCAAATGCAAATAATAAAGTAGGATGATAAAAGGAATAAAAGAACAATAGCAGGAGGGACTAGAGACTATGGGGAAACCTTTCTGGAAAGCTAACAGTAAAGCTGTATCCTTGAAGACAGAAACAGTGCGGACTGTGACGAGAGATCCAGGTGGGGAAAGCTGAGAATGGCCTGGGTGGGGAGGGGGTGAGGCAGAGAGAGGGTGGAGCTCAGAACAGTGAGGAAGCCCTGGTGAAACTGGTGTCAAGTGGGGACGAGGGTGACAGTCCACAGGAAAATTTAGGTGTGTATAACACTCCCCATGCTACAGATTTTAAAGAATTCTGTGATCTGATTTCCATTTAAAAAACAAAGAACTAGCATGATTAGCATGGCTGACAGATGTGAAGGGAATGGGCTAAGGAAGGGAAGGGAAGGAAAGGGGCTGAAGAGGTAAAAGACAAAGGGCAACAACTTTGATGACTTCAAAGAGAATGTTGCCAGGGAGACATAAAGTCTCTGGTAATTGAGAAACACTGTGGTCATGAGTTATGGTGAAGGGGAGCGTTAAAGTCAGGATCCAGGTTCCTGCTGGAGCCGTCAAACAGGTAGATGTGAAAGCTTAGATTCAGAAAGCTGGAGGATGTGTGTAGAAGGGCCACAGAGGTGGCTCACAAGGAGTAGGGGATCAAGAGTAACATGGTGGAGGTGTGCAGTCGAAAGTCGCTCCTGTGGGGAGTGTCAGGTAGGCTATACAAGTTCAGAAAAGAGGTATGGGCATGGGTACATGTCAGTCACTGGCATTCCAGGCTGTTTGAAGCCGTGGCCCTCTAAGAAATACCAGGATAAAGAAACTGAGTTCAGAACACAGGTAGATACCAGAGAGATGAGAGTAAGAGAAGGGAGGCTGAGGAAATATCTCACTCAATACAGTGTTTGCCATGAAAACGGAAGGATTCCCAAACCCACATTTAAAAATGTCTGTATGTGGTGGCACACTGGGAAGGCAGGGACAGGTGATCTCTGGGGCTCTCTGGCCAGCCAACTTAGCTTAATTGATGACTTACAAGCCAGTGAGAGACCCTGCCTCAAAGAAACAAGGTGGGAACCAGGGCAATGCCTCAGCAGGCAAGAACATTAACTTCCTGTATAACCCGATGACCAGTTTTGTTCCCGATAATCCACATGGCAACTCCTATAAGCTGTTTTCTGACCTCCACACACGTGCCATAGAGTGTTCACAAACAGAATAATATTTTTAAAGAACACGGCAGACGGGGCCTGAAGAACAACACCCAAGGTTGACTTGTGCCCTCCACAGGAGCCTGTACACATGTGCACTGCCCCTCCCCCACAAACATAATGCAAGAGAAAGAATACCAGAAGAAGATGAGCTACAGGGCAAAGTTGGAGAAGGCTGGGGGGCGGGGAGAAGCTAAGAGAAAAAAATTGTCCACAAGAGTCTGAAAGGCCCACAGTGGGCTGGGAAGAGCTGAAGTCCATGGGAGTCTGAAAAGGAGAAATTCGATGGCGTGGTGGAGACTAAGCCAACTGGAATGGGAAGGATGCTGAACAGGCAAATAAAGAGGAGACACAGTGTCTGCCAGTAAAATTGTCTGAGAACTTTGGGATGCGGAGCGAGGGTATCTATTTTAACTGATGCTTTTCTAAGATAATAACAGCAGTATGCTACCCGTACAGGTGTGGTAAACTGGCAAGTTTTGTGCAGAAAAGCTGAAGACTTGAGAGGCAGCAGGGGTCGGCTGAACACAGAGGTCAGGAATTCCTGCGTCAGAAAATGCTGTTCGGCTGTGGCTGTTTAGAATGTGTAGTGACACCCATCTGGCAGTCTTTGTTTCCAGTCCCCTGCCCCCCAGTCCTCCTTGGGAGCCCCTTCCCCATTTTTCACATCATGTGGTGAGAGACAATAACTCCACCTGCCAAGGCCCACTAATCCCCTAACAGCTGCAGGATCTGCTCCAGGCCCTGAACTTCCTTCTTGAATAGCTTGGCAGGAGGGATGGTGGGATGAAGCGGCCTTCTGGGTTTGTTTCTGCCAATGCTGTGGGATTTTCACCTCTACCTTAGGTCTCAAACACAGCCCAGCTTTCCCTGGGAAGTCAGACCCAGCATTAGCCCAACTAGCTTCACTTTTGTGAGTCTGATGCCAATGACAGAGGAAGACATGTGATGTGGAGACCGAGCTATAGGCTATGCACAGATAAAGTCACACTGGTGGGAGAGGCAGAGTGTCCACAGGGGACACAATGCCCTATTCTCAGGCCCCACGAGGTTTCCATCAAACTGCAGTATGATTAATTACTACAATCAATTTAATTGATACCTTTGAATACCAAAACAAGATATTTGATACCACCAACACAAGTTTCTGGATATCTCAATACAAAGGCTGGGAATGAGAAGACAAGCCATTAACTGAGACTGCCCATACACCTTTAGTGTGTGTATGTGTGTTGGGGGGGGGAGCACTCACATGCCATGGCGTACATGTGGGAGTCAGAGAACATCAGCTGTTAGTCGTTTCTTTCACTTTGAGCCAGGGTCTTTCTTGTTTTGACACTGTGTTGTGGATTCCAGGCTACCTGGCCCAAGAGCTTCTTGGGGAGTCTCCTGCCTCTACTTCCCATCTTGCTAAAAGAATGCTGGCATTACAGACACATGCCTCCATGTCTGCCTTTTCCCTTGGGTTCAAAAGACCCTAACTCAGGTGGCCAAGCTTGCACAGCTAAGGCTCTCCCTTTCTGAGTCATCCGTCTCCCCAGTCCCATATATCAGGGTCATACACTTCACTCTTTGATTTGACTGTGAGTTAGAGACAAACATGCCCACTATTCAAATAGGTTCTTTTGAATTTCCAAGGCTGATCATAGAAGAAGCGTATGCAGAGTTTGAAATGAAAAGGCTGTGCAGTAATTAATTTTGACATCCAGAAAATCAGAAAATGAAGTGGAATGTGTACAGCAGCTTCCGGTTCTCATCAAGTGATTCTGAGCTCAGCCTTTGGCAATGAGATCCAATGCTCTTGTTTACAGGTCTCAAACACACAGGGGTCTTAAAAGGAAGTCACATGAGCAGTAGAACTGACTCAAATTGAAACTTTTTGTTGTTGTTGTTGCTGTTTTTCTTTGTCTAATAGAGAACTAGATAGACAGGGAAGAATGTGTCAAATCTTGTTTCTTTCTTGCTAACCCAATTTGGAATTTTAGGCTTAGTCCAGCTGTTCCTAAATCATAATGGAAGCGGAATGCATATTATCTCCACGAGGGGGAAATTCCCCACCAACAAGCTAACACTTTTAATTCTAACTTCTGCCAATTATTTTCCATGTTTTCTCTAGTGGCCATCAGCTAATGTTTAAGTTGCGGCCTGAAACACATAAATAAGACCTCAGCACGGTGTCATCTGTGGCCTGCAGATCACTTGGCAGTGTGTGGGGACCGCCCCTGAAGACAGCAGCACCTTTGTTCAAGGAACAGTGCACTTGCATTGGTGACAATGGCAAGGCCGGGAATTTGAGATGAATGGGAACCATTCATCTTATTAATGAACAGAAAAGTAAACAGAAATGAGGAGCCACTGTTTGACTATGCCCAAGCCACCCTGCAAGGGCCTCAGTGATATACATACTCGGTGCACTAAAAATAATAAACAATTAGAGCAAACAAACAAACAAACACCGGTAGACTCAGCAAAGGTTAATGGGGAAAAGGAACTGACTCATACGCAAGACCAGGCTGCCATGACATATCAGGGTTTCTCAGCATCTACTGCCTATTACCTGGCATGTCTTTGCCTTTTTTTTGTTTGTTTGCGTGTGACAATAGAGGACCTTAGAACTTTTTCTAAAGCCACATTATTCGGCCCAAATCATGCAATTCCATTTAACATTTAAATTCCAGTAGTCGGAACACCTGCCTTTCCCGTAGAAAACGCGTTCTAATATTGTCCGTTTACCTTGGTCTTTTCGCCTACGATGTTCTTCTCCAGTTCTGTGATTTTCCGGTTCAGATGATCCAGAATCTCCTTCTCCTTCATGAGCTCAGCCGTCTCAGATTTCTGCTCTCCATCCAAAAGAGCACATTCCATATCCAACTAAGGACATAAAAGAAAGCTCAGAAACATCTCACCTTCAGGAACGGCTGCCCACCGAGAGGTGCAGGTTTAACAGATTCTCAACAAGTGTTACTGACCAGTCAGACTGTGGGGTTCAGGCATGAAATCTGGGGTGCCTGCCTAAGAAAGCTGGGGCAGCCCACTATGTTTTGGCTTAAAAAGCTAGTCGCCTGAACACTTCACTTTTCTATGGACACCTCTCCTCAGTAATATTTGGCCTAATTGCCTAGGCTTTAGCTCAAGAGTAAGCTGCCTGGAATACAGCCAGCTGGTCCTTGTCCCTGGAGTCGGAGGAGTGAGCGTTATCCCAGTCCCCATAAAAGAGGCCCACATTCCTAGAGGATTCCGGGGGGGGGGTAGTACAGGAGATGACAGGTGAGGACTCCAGTCCCCTCACTGGGCACCATCTGTGAGTGCTGACTGCGCCTCTCACGCCAGGCAGGATTCCATGCTTTCTGCCACTCCATACGATGGCAATATTACGTGTGTCACTACCTTCTACTTCTACTAAATGAGCGAGCCTACCTCCTGTTCTGCAAATCTGTAGAAAGTTAGCTTCCTGTTTAATTCACATGTGAAGTGAATCCTTTAATAGTACCTACATGATACTAATGCATAGTAAGAATGCTCAGAAAATGTTAGCTGAATTTGAACTTGAACACTTCATAGATAGAGGTTAATTTAGCAACTGGCCTTGCAAACTGCAAAAGCACATATTGTAACAAATCAAAAAAGTTTGGCTAGATATAAAGTGAATTAAAGCTGGCTTAATATGTTTATGTCATCAGATTTCACAGCATACACACACACACACGCATGTGCACACACACACTCTCACACACAAAATGTGAGACAGGGCACTCTACAAATGATTCCCACTGAGTAAGTGTTTGCTCATGTTGATCTCTGTGAATTCACTTCTCAGGCTTCTTCCACAGCAAGAAGAACTATCTAAGCTGATGGGAAAAAAAGAGAAAAGGGCCAGAGTAAACGGTGAGCTCCCAGCTTATACCTCTCTGGAGGATTCATCCATTTGGTCATTTATATCTTTGATTTTCTGTTCAAGTTCCTCAAGGTTGTTCAGAATAACCATCCGGGCATCTTCCATTGCAGCCAACTCCTGAGTCCTCTGTTCCTCACCTATATCCTCTGGGGTCTGTGGTCAAGAAAAACAGACATGGGTTATCCACACTTCAGTTCTAGAATTTTCCTATTTGACTGAAAAAGCAGCTGCAAGGATTAATGTGTCCATGTTGCTCCACGTGGAATGCCTGGGAGGGCAAGCCTGAGCTACATGAAATCTCTCTCTATCAAATGAAATATATCGGTCAGAAAGCATTTTAAAGAGCACCTGGGCAGTTTCATTGACCCACGATGTATTTTCTCACAGAGACTACGCTGCTCTACGCAATTATATACCCAGACAAGAGCCAACAAACCAACTTCCATTCACAAATGTATATCCTTTTACTGCTCAAAGGACTAAGAGGCTATCCAGACCAGGAAGTGGCAGAAGGCAGAGGTGAAGTAGCTTCTCCAGTGTTATAAAGTTCAACACACACAGCAGGGAACCAGAGACGAGGCAGGGCCTTTGACACCCTCCTTCAGGCGATCTGCTTGTTGCTATGTTGCTGGCTTCCTTAGAAGCTCCACCTGTAGCAGCCACACTGCTAGGTCTTGCTATGCGGGCTGCCTCTGAATAAATATTTGTACTTATTTATTCTCTTCTAACACAAGGCGGACATCAGTTTTGACATGGTCATGCCATACAATGTCAAGCGGCATATTTGATACTTCTAGTGGATGCCCCGTGTATTGTATTAGTTCACTCTTCACTAACCTCATCTTATAGACAGTCTTCTTATGTGGTTAAGACATCAACGGAACAGAAAATAAGATACAGGTTACCACTGAGTTCATGGGATAGCCCAGGATTCAAGGAAAGCAATAAGAATGTTCAACACATGGAGGGACAGTGTATTTTTATGGTCTCATCCATTTAATAGTAAACGGGGGTAGGGGAAGAAAAAAATGCTATAGATGATGTACAAAGCCCAACATGCCCACTGCTTAAAAAGAAAACAGATTGTATCAAAACTGCCTCTTCTCCCCAGGACTTTGGATTAGCTATCTTGAGTGCCTCCTGGAGGAGATAGAAAACTTTACATAAGAACAGAGATGCCAGGGTGTTTTAATAATATTTAATTTTTACATATCTCTTGGAAGAAAGCGATTTTTGGATGAGTAAGTTGTGACCAAATAGTCCACAACTCAAAAATGCAAACAGCAGTCCAATTCAGTAAATTCTTGAGGAGTCTTCTTTAATAGTTAAAAGGACCATTCACAGGACATGGTGGCAACCCCAGGATGGGGGGAGAACTGTTGCTACTTCCTGAACAGCCTGATTCACACAGCAAGGATGAGGCCAGCCAGGGCCACATAGCAGACCAGGTCTCAGAAAACCAAACCAAACCGACCAACCATCCAACCAAGCAAACAATGGAACAATCAACCAACCAAACAACCAAGCAAACAAACAAACAACCATACAAACATCATAGTAATTATTGTATCCAGACAATCACTGCACCTAAGAGAACTTTACTGGGTTCATTTAATTTGTTCCCTAATCCTGATATAACTTTTAAAAATGTCTACCAAGTCATATTCCACAGGCAGAGACAAGCAGATCTCTGAATTTAAGATCATCAGTCTGCTCCAGTGAGTTGTAGGCCAGCTCTAACACAAAGACAGACACTACCTCACTGGGACTCCACTACAGCTTCCATGACAAGATGATATTTCTTTTAAATTTTATTTTATTTTGGGGGGAGCTTGCAAGGGAAGAGGGAGGATATGAGAAAATGGGTAGATGAAGCGAACCAGGGTGTAAGATGTGAAATCCACAGAGAAACAATAGAAATTTTTTTAAAAAAAATATAAAATCTATATCTCAGTAGGTTAGAACAAAGACACACGGGCCTTTCGAGTTTTGACGTTTAATTTTTGTATTGTCATTTTAAATTTACTATCTCACCAACAAACTAAACAACTGCTGACCTTTCCATCAAGAAGAGTGGAGTTTGTTGTCTTATATTCAGGTGCTTGGTTAGGGCTGGGAGGAATGTCTAACAGTGAAGGGTGCCCAACCTCACTGCCTAGTAAATGCAGCAGGAAAGGCCCTAAAGTATCCTGTCGGGCCAGCATTGCATCTTAGGTTTCTACTTCCAAAATGGTTTAAATATATCTGTCACCAGTGGAAGCAAAGCACTAAGAGAAGACAAAACAAGCTCACAGTCTGTACACTTTGTAGGGCAAGGAGGGAAGATAATTAACAATAGAAATGCTAAGTGTTTACATGACTCAGAGATTTTAGAAACTCTATCACAATGGGCATATTTAGAGGCTGCTTTCTGCAATAAGGGTACAAACAAGGATTTTTTTTTTTGGAAGCTGTTGGGATAAATTCAAGAGGCATTTTAAAACTGAATGATTTCATTTGTTTGAAGATTTTTTTTTTGTCTGTTTTGCCCGAATGCATATCTGTGCCCAAGGAGACCGTCAAATCCCCTGGAACTGGAGTTATACCAGCTGTGGGCCATCTGAGGTGGGTACTGGGAATCGAACCCAAATCCTCTGTGGGAGCAGCAAATACTCTTAACCAGTGAGATAGCTCTCCAGCCACCAAACTGAATGCTTTGAGACAGAATAGAAGAAAAGTTTTATTGCAATCTCATTAATTAACAGAATAAAGAAAATCAGTGGAGAACCAAACCCGAGACAGGAGATGGATAGCTTTAATTACAGGGTAACAAAAAGGTGAAATTTGTAAACTCATTACCCTCTATTCAATTGTGGGCTGTATTTTTATAGTAAGGTATAGAACTGCACTGGTATGTGCAGGAGCAAAGACATCATCTTGGAGGTAACTTGGTCCATGGAGAGAAAAAGAAGAGAGGGTAGGAATAAGACGATTTCTCCTCCTGCCACTCTTTGTAGACCTTGGGCAGCCTGCAGAGGTGTGTGGCTTTGCACTGTAGATGGAACAATTACTGAAAAATGGGTCAGGAGCTTGTCTATGAGTCAGCTGCCTCAGACGGTGCTAGAGAGCGTCACAAAGACCATTCAGATGAGTGTATAGCCAAGGACATGAACACCTTTCAGTGTTAGGGAATCTAAGGTCCTGACTGGCAAATTTCAGGTGTCCCAAAGATCATAAAAATCTTTTTCAGGACAGATTTTGAGTGTTTTTTTTTTTGTTGTTGTTGTTGTTTTGTTTTTTGTTTGTTTTTTTTAAACTAGGCCTCTCTTGTCAACTTTCCCACCTACCAGTTTAACAAGCACCGTACTTCATGAAGCAAATAATCCAGCTGCACAGTACTAGGAAAAGAAGGACAGACACCCCACATTTAGGGCCAGGAGGTTTGTCTAAGTTTCCTGTTTCTGCTCTTGAGTTATGACGCGCCTGTTTTTGAAAAGCAGATGAACACCTACCTCCTGTCACCCATCCCCCTCTCATCTGTACCCTAATATGCTTGGTAGCCATCTGAGATGAGTTCCATGTTTTCTGTATCTACCAACATAGTCCGAGACAATAGATCCTGCAGCATCTCCAGGGCCTCCAATTTCAAAAGACCTTATCTGAGCAAATGAAAACCTCTGCCAGGATCTATTTGTTTAGACAAGCTTGTCAGAGCCTTCTCCCAGAAGACTGCCTTTAGAATGCACAGCTCAACGATTTTAACAAAATCAAGCCACTCTCTATGAAGGAGAATAGGAAATGAAACTGATAGAAAGGCACAAATCTGTAAGGAAGTGACTGATGACAATTGCCCAAGGTCTCAGAGGGGTCGCTTACTTTTCCTGAGTATCCAATAACTCGTTCAAAAAATATATTAATTTATGTATACAGGTGTTTTGTTTTCATGTAGGCCTCTGTACCATGTGCATATAGTATCCATGGAAACCGGAAGAGTACATCTCATTCCCTAGAAGTGGAGGACAGAAGACTGTTTCCGGCCACGTGGATGCTGGGAATATACCCAGGTCCTCTGGAAGAGCAACCAGTGCTCTTAAACACTGAGCCATCTCTTCAGCCCCAACACAGTATCTTTTCATTCCTCGATCCTCCCTCCATCTTTTCATCCGAATTGCTAAGTTTCAGCTTGCCAGCAGGAAAGCCAAACATGCTACTGAGAACTTCTCCCCTCTGAGAATTTATCTAAGATAAATATGGCATGAGAAGGGAGAAGTGACTGAAGAACACAATGCATGTAATCCGCCACAGGCCTGACATGTAGCCGGAGGTGCTCAGTAATATGTAAGGAAAGTATTGCTATATAGTTAAACTAAAAAAATAAAATTGCACATATAAGCTTCTTTAAATCCTTGTGAACACTAGTTTTAGGACTAAGTACCATGCTGTCAAATTCTAATGTACCTTTATAAAGTCAATACTGCTACTATTAATATTTGCATTTTTGTTCAGGGTTGGTCGTGTGTGTGTGTGGGGGGGGGTCTTCTTTTTGTGGGTAGTGCTGGGCATTAAACCCAGGGTTTGGCGTGAGCCTTTTAACCACTGAATTATACCCCCGATGTTTTTCTTAAAGAACCAGTATTGGGCTGGAGAGATGGCTTAAGGGTTAAAAGCACTTCTTCCTCTTATAGAGGACCCAGGTTCAATTCCCAAAAACATGGTTGCTGAGAAGCATCTGTAACTCCAGTCCCAGGGAACCAATGCCTTCTTCATTAAAGGATCTTTTGTTATTATTCTGTTGCCATGAGGGACACAATTTTAAGATGACATTATATTAAGACCTACTTTAATTAGTAAACCCTATTTGTTTTTAAATAAATAAACCTACCTCATACTTGTGGTAGCATTTTTCCCTCTTATTTTGGTATTTTAATTTAGCTAAATGAAATGTATCTTTAATTCTAAGTAGCCTCTTTGTAGAAAAGATGGTAGAAAAATTCTAGAAACCATCCTAGAAAACAAAAATTCTTAATCTATGGGGGAAAAAAACACTAAGAAAGCCACAGAACTTCATTTTTAAAACCCTCAAACTTGGAAGATATTTGTAAACCAATATTCAATCAGAAGACTAGGTAATAGTTATGACTACCAGTAAATATTACATTTCTAAAATGGGTCATGAATAAAGCCACAGGAAAGTCCTCTCACAACAAATGCTAACTTGCTACCAACAAGCATTTCTTATAATTCAGTAAAGCTTGGACAAGTAAGTTTTGAAGAGAGAGGACAAAATGAAAAATACTTTAAAATACAAAAAGGTATCTATTTTATGTATAATTAAAGATAAATTTAAAACACCTATTAGTTGGAAAATTGAAAAACTGGCAGTACATAAACTCCATAAAAGCATAGGCAATAAATTGTGCCATACACTAGTAGTGAAAGTGTGCAGCAGAAGGATAATTTTTTTAAATTTTTTGAGATTATAATACAATTATAGCATTTATTCATTCCCTTTTCTACCTTCAAACCCTCCCACATGCCATACCCCACTCTCCTTAGAATGCAGGGCCTCTTTTCTCACTCGTTGTTATTAGACACATATATCTATATACATATACAGCCTTAAATGTAATCCTTTGAGTCAGTATGATGGTGTGTGTATGTGTGTGTGTTTCAAGACTGAGCATTTTGATACTGGGCATGTGCTCTTCCCTGGGGCAGACCACCTCTCCCACTCCCAGCTTTTCCCAGCTGCCTCTATCAACCACATTCTTAAAGGAGTAGAAGCTTGGGTATGTTCATACATCAAACAAATAATGTACTAGCCTGGCGTAGTGACTCATACCTGTAACCCCAGAACTCAGGAGACTGAGTTTTAATTTTAGTCATTCTACTTCCAGTAAGTGACCCAACAGAGACAAGTATATAAAAATACGTATCATAGAAAATGACTACATGCAAATTTTATCATTCCAAACTAGGAATAATATGCATGGTCCTCCCTCTAATCCTAATGCAAACAATAATGGGAAATAAAGGGAAAGCAAAGTTTAAAAAGTATATTGGCATGCCATCTCGCCTGTCTCGGATGTCTATCATCAAGGAGACAAGGGCTGGCGAGGGTGTGTGGTGAGTTGGGGGAGAAGAGAACTTACCCACTGATGGTGAAATGTAATTTAGGACAGCCACTACAGAAATCAGTATGGGGATCCCCCAAAACATTAAAAATACAACTTCCCTATGATCCAGCAAGACCACTCCTGAGTATATACCCTAAGGATTTGAAGTCAACAGCCCACAGAGAGAGCTTCACATCCGTGTGTACTGTCTCACTGTTTAGTACAGATAACTTAGGAGTCAGGCTCAATGCTGATCAACAGATGAAAGTATAGAGAAAAATATATATACATATTTTAGTATACACACACACACACGTCAATACAGCATCATCTAGCCACAAGAAGGAAAGAAGTTATCCCACCACAGGACAATGGTTGAAACTGGAGACCACCATGTTAAGTGAAATAACTCAAGTCTCGCGTGCTTTCTTTCATATATGAGATGGGAGGAGTAGGTGAGTCGACTGGGAACTAGGAAGAAAGTGGAGTGAGAAACTGGGGAGGGACAAGGAAAAGGAAGGGTAGCAGAGGAGAGGAATATGACCCAATTACATCGCAGCTGTGTGAAAGTTTCATGATGAAACTCTCCAACTAAAGCATGCTCAATAAAAAATTTTAAAAATCCAATGGATAAAAAATTTCCACCAGCATTTTGAAGAACAAAATAGGTCCGTGCAGTAGACACAGACACCCCTTTAATGGTGGGAGGCCACAGAGAGCAGTGGGTATGTGTACGAATCGATGCACAGGCAATGTAACAAGTCAACAAGACACATAGCTGCACTTCTGAAGGGCAGAGCTGAGAGAGGCGGGGAGAAGATGCAGGATGGACGGCTACATCTTCACAGAGCCAATGTTACTTTACAGCATTGGTGTTCAGCCTTCCTAACGTTGTGACCCTTTAACACAGTTCTTCATGTTGTGATGTCCGCCAACCACACAATTACTTTTGTTGCTACCTCAGAACTACAGTTTTGCTACTGTTAGGAATTGGAATGGAAATATCTGTGTTTTCTGATGGTCTTGGGTAACCCTTATGAGAGGGTCCATTGACCCCCTCCCCCCAAAAGGGGTCACAACCCACAGGTTGAGAACCACTGCTTTACAGTGCTCTCCCTAATTTACTGCACCCTGCCACCTCTTCCATGGAACCTGTACTCCAATGTCAAGAAAATGTCCATGAGCAACCTCTCATGTCCCTGTGAAAGCATAGCACGGTCCTAGGCCCGAGTTGTGATCTTTCCACCAAACATTACCTTCGGTAGGATACTGAGGTAGGAGGACTCGTTGGATGTTTTCAGAAACGCAGATGAGGATGATGGGGGCGTCCTGGTGAGGTCACCAAGCAGTTCATCATTCCTGCTGCCCCTGGGAGCCAGGAAGCTGGCGCTGTGACTGAGGCTCCCAAAGCCCGCGATTTCAACATCCTGGAGAGAGCCTTTCCGATGGCACCTGTACCTGGCGTCGGGGCACAGCAGAGCCTCCTCAAACACAGACTCCTCATCGGACAGCTGCAGCTTCTCCAGCTCCTTGTTGATTTTCTGCACATCGGCCACGGTGGTGCCAGCGGACAGGCGTCGGCCCTCAGGCTTCGTGTACTCAGCACACAGACTGAGGATGGTCTCCAGTCGCTGCCGCTCCTACAGCACGGAAGGAGGCAAGGTCACTGAGGGTGACAGAACAGAGACAACTCCAGACTGACTGCGGGGCTGGAGGGCTTTTTCACACACTGATCCACAGATGTCCTTCCTCCTGCCTGCCCTCCCTTCCTCCCTCCCTCTCTTCCTTTTTGAGATAGGATCTCTTGTTGTATATCCTTAAACTCATAACCCTCCCCTCTTGAAGGCTGGGAATAGTACGGACGAACCATATCTGGCTTCCAACACCTTCTCTGGCTGCATTTAAGGACTAGATAGAACTCTTTGTGGTTCCTGGTTTCTCCCTTAAACACGGAGTCAGCTGACTGCCCTTCCCGGTATATACCTGGGCTGAGTATAGCATACATCCGATTCTAACAAGCATCCCCTTGGTTTATCACGCCTCCAATTGAAGAGCTTTCTTTAAACCTCAATATTCTATGCAGTCTTATTTCCCTCCTTCTCCTAACCCACTGTTAACAACAACTAGCTCTTCCAACATTACGGGTTTAAGACTTGGGCTTATCGTAAACACCCTAACTTCACAAGGAAATGTTCTCTTACTGTTAGACACACCAAGAGAAACATGGCATTTAAACTATCTTTCAGTGCAGAGTCTTTGTCTATGTCTTCATTTATTTTTTTTTTTTGCATCGAAAATTTCAAAGCTTTTAATAATGACTGGTCACTGTGTAACAAAACTATGAACAAAACTATCTTTTAAATGTATGGCTGGATTTAGAGGGATGGCTCAGTCAGAAAAGGCCTGACTGACCAGTCGGGTGACCTGAGTTCAATCCCTAGGACTTCCGTGATGAAAAGAGAGAGCTGACTTCCATATTTGTTCCATATGAACAAATATGAACACACACAGAAAGACAAATAAATAAATAAATAATATATAATTAAGATGTATAATTGTTGCAATAAAACAAAGAACATCAGGTACAGCTAGAACAACATCAATATATCTTAAAATCCAAAATCACTGAAAGTGTGATTCATGTAGCTGGAAAATAAAATGATCATCTACTTTAAAAAAAAAAAGCCACAGGCCATCAAGGTCTCAAATAATTCCACTCACAAGCTGGCCCCTCACCAGATTCCATATAAGAACGTAGACATTTATAATTTTAAGCAAATTAATAATATAGTTATGAACAGCAGGAAATAATTTACCAAATGGTTCTCATAAGCCTAGACAGCCTTGCCTAGGGTGGGGAGCCCCACATAAATCTAATGCCACAATGGAAACAAGAACCCAAACCGAAGGCCATCTGTTGCGATTAAATTCTACCACATTGGAAAGAGACTTCAAAAGCCCCCCTAGGAAAACACTTGGCAAACTGGCGATCGGTAATAAAATAGGAACATATTCTGCACACCGTTCTGCTTCTTTTCATTCTCGTTGCAGCTGATCTGGGAAGGCAAGCTCAGAGTTAGCTCTTTCTTAGTCGCGGTAGCAACAAACAGAGAAGTAACACACCGCTGTGGCTCCCTGGTTTCCACTCAATGCACTAACTGACAAAAATCAGAGCTCATTTCAAGTGTATCTGACGTACTTATGCCCTTTGAAGTAGCCCCCGCCCTCTAAAAGAGTAATAACTCCATCAAAATGTCCAGTGAACTGGTCCCTGGGAACTCCCACCTCCCTGTCACTGCTTGGACTTCTGGGCTCCAGCTGTAGGTCTGTCCTCATGGCCGCTTCCCAGGCAGGCACTCATAGCTGTACAAGCCTGACTTCTTTCATCCAGGAGCCCTGGCCGTTATTCATCTCTGCAGCTGCCGCCAACTGCCAAGTCCTACCCACCTCGGCCCTATGGGGACATAGCATCTATTGACTTACTTTAAACTCCCCCGACAATAAAGAAAAGTCTACACATAAATCCATAAAAAACACTCTGTGACAGCTTAGGTAAGAAAGGGATAGGGGTTAGTTTTATCTTATCCTTCCTCTACAACATCTGTACCAGGGACTGAATCTCCGGAGAAAACCCCCCTTTCTGCAGTTTGGGTTTAAGTTGAAGCATCTAGACTCAGTCTCGGTCTTCCTAGACCACACAGGATGCTCACAGTAGCCTTGCCACTGGGATTATCTGATATTACCGATTTGCATTTACCAGGACCCTAATAAACGGTATGATCTTCAGATGAAAAGAAGGTACTCCTGTCTAGACTAGGAGACACAGCAACATTCCCCCAACATCTCCTTCCCAAAATAGTTGCCTCTGCTGCCTGGGCTGTTGCTTAACTTCAGAGGGAATAAAAGATCCCATCCCTAAGATAGATGCTATTTCAGACAGTGAGAGGGAGTATTCAAAGCTTGTGCACAGGAAGTTTGGTCTACTGGTATGTGTCTCGCTATTCTTATCACCCCATTCACAGCCAATCTGTCCAGATTGAATCAGACACGCATGCAGCACCGCTGCCGACAAACCTAAAAGCGGTCCATGTTGTGCCGAGACACACTGGCCCCTTAAAAGCTACAGGGAAGAAAAATAAGCTGATGCTGAGAAGTGCGTCAGAAGGGAGTCAGCAGAGCGTCTCAGAAAGTGCTCCAGGAAGCCTTTTAAGGAAAGCCCTGGGCTGAAGTGACCCTCTAGAAGCTTCTCCCTTCAGCTTGATCCATTCTGGTGTTGGGTTCCACACTAGTCATCTCATGGGGAGCCTCCACATTTCCTGTATGACCTCAAGCCAGGGCACAAACCCCTATCTGAGATGCGGTCTTCCTTGAAGCTTTGCATTGCAAAGTGCCAAGCTGGGGGTGGCCTGCTTTGAGATCTCCAAATCACCCTCCCCAGGGTCCCACATCAGTATTCTCCCATTCAGAAGACTGGTGGCTGCTAGCCCAGATGCCAAAAGTCACTGTGGCGTTAACTGTTTAGGAAGCAAAATGATTGTAAGAACATTTTCTCTCTCCTTTCTTATTTCCATTCTCCTATCTCTATAACCCACATATAACAAGGATGTTTTGAAGGGTTCCTAATAGTTTAGAAAATGCAATGAAAATATTATTGTGCAATTCTTTGACCAGAGACATTAACATGTGTTGAGTGTCGGTAATAAACTTTTATTTCCAAACTTTCTACTTCAGAAGATCATTTCTGACATTGCATGCCCTAAATGGGATAGTGAAAAACCACCCATTCCCCCTGAAGCCAACATCGGCGGGTCTAGCCCACAAGACTGGGAAAATACTGAGTAAATAAAGTATGCAGAAAACTAGCTACCAGTGCATAAAACAGGAATGAAATGCCTGCTGGATGATCTGTTACAGTATGCTGGGTCAATTATTCACAGAAAAAGTGTCTCCCTGTGTAGTTACAAAAGTTCTTCTCTCTTTTCTTTTTCTACCGCTTTGACAGGTAGGTATGGCTCACCTCTCTCTCTCTCTCTCTCTCTCTCTCTCTCTCTCTCTCTCTCTCTCTCTCTCTCTCGTGTGTGTGTGTGTGTGTGTGTGTGTGTGTGTGTGTGTGTGTGTGATCCTTCCTACATTTAAATCCCTTGAGGTTAATAGCCGGGGGAATTAACCATGGTCAAAATGGTTTTTCTCTACCATACCACCAAATAAACGGCCTTCAGATTTGATGAAGTGCAGGAAGCACTGAGTGGCTGTCCAGTACGACAAGCAGGAAAGATTTCTTGCACGGCTTCCTTAGCTATGGCACCCTGACCCCACCAGCTAGTGCTGGCTCTATCAGTCTCGGTCCCATGACAGGGTGGAGCAGAGGTCTTAATCAACTCACAGTGGCCATGAAGTATATATAGAATAAATAGCTCTATGTTATTTTAAACCTCTGACATTTATTGCATTCTTTTTTTCCCCTACAGAAATTCATTACTGATAATTATGCTTCATTTTATCAGGAAAACTGGTCCAAAACTTGGAGAAAAGAGACACAAGGATCTTGGCAAAGAATCTTCAGTTATTCACTGAATAAACATTTAGCTTTGTCCAAAGAGCAACCTTTGTTTAGGGCAGGGTTAGTACTATCTAAGGAATACAGGACGGATATTGGAGACTGCAGAAAGACTAGTCATGTGATTTTCTTGGGAAGCCTTGGATCAGGGCCCATCACTCAACAAGAAGACTGAAACTTTATGGCCAGTCGGTCATCAATGAGCCATGCCAACATGACAAAGACACAATACAAACTCTATAAACAACACCTTCTCTGGTGTGTGTGTGTCCTGCCACCTATCACTGTCCAAGGCTCGTAGAACAGTGCATCCTGACTCGCCTTGGAGAGAATGATGCAAGTACCACTTCTGTTACCCTCTGCACTCTGCCCTGTGGGCTTCTTCCTTTGGCTGACGTCTATTAATTATTTTCTCCAATGTCTAGAACTGTAACCATTATTACAGAGAGTTCTGTTCTGTGAGAACTTCTAATGAATTATTGAATGTGATGCTGGCTTAGGAACTCCTGGACCTGTGGGTTGTATAAGAAATAAAGCATTGTGTAGAGAAAGAATCAGAGTTAAATGTTTTAGTTATTTGTTTATGTCTTATTCCCATGATGATGATTATTATGGAGGAGAATAAGTGCACTAAAATAAAATCTTCACAGTAATTTGCACATAACAGGCATTTGGTGATTAGTTAGTATTTGCCACCTTCCAAAAACATTCAGTTGCTTCCCAAGTAAACTCAACCACATAAAGCTACTGAACTTCCATTTTGTTGCTCGTGTGCCCCACTCCAGCTCATCCATTGCTGGTGGGAATGCAAACTTGTGCAACCACTTTGGAAAGCAGTGTGGCTGTTTCTCAGGAAATTCGGGATCAACCTACCCCTGGACCCAGCAATCCCACTCTTGGGAATATACCCAAGAGATGCCCTATCATACAACAAACATATATGCTCAACTGATTCTCAATATTCCTTCAAGATACTAAGTACACTGAAATAAAAACAACCCATTGCCTAAGGGGATGAAGACCATCTTGCTTAAATGTCCTAATATTTTGACCCCAGAGTTTGAATTCTTGTTCTGGGAAAAC